TCGGATGGTTTTATCTCAGCCGCTCCTGAGCTTTATCGTTGAACGCGAAGGTCTCTGAGTACAAAAATGTATCAGTGGCAATAATTGACAGACGCTGAAAATGACTATAGTGCTTATAAGGCGTATATCTTGATTTGATTTAGCTGAATTTGCATCATAATTTGCATCTTGACAGTATCTGATTTCACAGAAAATTCGCTCAATTATCTTCTCTTTCTTTTCTTATTTCCTATCGGAAACTAATATGTTGCTACCAGTCATTTTGGGATTCATTATAACAGCCATAACATCAACATGGCTGAAGAAAAGTTTGATCCCATACTATTCTCAATGGCGCAGCAGATGCCAGGCGGTGTTCCGGACCTTCTTGATGTCCTCTTTGGCTTCCTTGCCAGGTTAGCAAGCTTGAAAGTTGGATCCAGCAGCAACATATTCTCGTTTTTAAGGAAAACCGACTTCTATTCCGGTGCTGGTGTTGATGAAGCTCGAAGTCTACTTTTGAAGTATTTCGAGAAGCACGGCAAGGAGGCCATTGAAGTATGTTAATTTTTAAAGTATTTTCCGCTTTGCTTGATATTTTTTATGGACGTCTTCTCTCGTTCAGAAAGCTGCCGAAATCAAAAGAATGAAAGAAGAGCAAGAGCGTAAATTAGCTGCAAAACGAGCTGCTCACAAGGCAAAGGAGGAAGAAGAGTTCAAGGTGCTGATTTCCAATCCTTTTTCTTTTCTTGCAGTCGTTACTATGTTGAATTTGGAAAACAAAGAATTGCCGAGTTGACTGCGCTCTCCGCGCCATGTGATTTGCCGTCAATGTTTCCTAGACTTAAAGCACAGTGTGCATTGCACCATGTTCACGACAAATTGCTGCTTCAGTATTCTCACGTCTGTAAACGCAGTAGAAAAATACGGAAGAGAAGGCGTTTTTTTGGGCTTATTGTTAATTGAATTTATCTTCGAATAGAAATCTTTGTGCTACTCAAGAATTGTCGATTTTCACTGTATTCTCGCTTCATTCGAAGTTATCTTCTTTTCAGGCTCAAGCAAGCGGTGGTAGCAAGATAGAAGAAATTTCTGATGCTGAAGCAGCCGAGTTTGAAAAGAAACAGTAAGATTGACCTCAGTTCTTTTTGTTCGCTTGCAATTTCAGTTCCTTTTTTTAGCGGCGAGAAGCATGTCGTATCTGAACCAGAGAAAACAGAAACAAAAAATACCGACGAAGATAAGCCCGCAGAAGACGAGGATGAAGAAGACAAAAATAAACTCCGCCCTAATAGTGGTAATGGTGCAGATTTGGAACATT